AGTATCGATTCTGGTTAGTAACATTCTCGCATCGAGAAAAAAACGGTACTTGAACTGATTTTTTTTCTCCGAAATTCAATTTCTTCTTGTTTTACCCAATAATCTGTGATTTTATCTCGTGTTTTCTACATACTCAGCACAGATTTTATTTCACATAGTCATGATTGTTATCGTATTTGTCAATATTGAACTCTTATTCGTATAAGAATGTTGGAAAATTGAATAGAATCTGTGCCGAATTCTTAAAGTGTTACTTAGGGGCCGTTCACTTATGAGGTCCAAGGGGGGATCAGCAAGAGAAGAACAATAGAAATTCCTAGAAATCCATTGTTCTTTTATGAAAAATGACCATTAAATTCGGACGTCATAAGTGAACGACCCCTTAGCTCTTCCTGGTTATCTATACAGTAACTACATTCCATTAACATTTTTGTAAGCACTAATCTCAATAGAACTCAATTCAATGGTTCACTCAATAATTTATTCATCAACACTACCTTATTAGTTTTTATTTTTCTCCTTGAAAATATATTTATTTATTTTTTTGACGAGTCTTGAGTAAATATTTGCGGAACCAAGAAAAAAATATGGTAAAAAAACGCAAAAATTTCGTTTGCCATACTTAACGGGGTTTTATGCTAATTAATTCAAAAATATTTTATTGTATTATTGCTCAACTACCGTTGTTCGGTCAATCGGTTCTCATCTAATTGATTACTTTATGCTAATTCATTCTACTTTAAGAACGAGATATTTTTATAGAATAATTTACGAGCCATGACAACTTTTTTACAGTTGTAAGATTAATAATTTAATACAGACAGAAATAGCTGATTTAGATTGTCATTTTGGATGGATAGTTTGGCATTAGTAAGAACATGGTAATAAAAAAATTAAAATTGAATTTTTTGAAAAAATATTTTTAACTTTTTCATCTTATTAAATAATTGAAAATTTAAAAACAGAATTTGGACAATTTTGAAAAAATTAAAATTTTGTTTTTTTTCATTTTTATTTAAAAAGTATTAAAATTAAAAATAAAGTCTCGAGAAAACTTCAACAAAGATGAATTTTCAACCATTTTAAGTTTCATCTTCACTTAAAAAAATTGACACAAATAAAAAAGCACAAGTCACTCAAATAGTCAGCTGATTTTTCTCATTATATATTCAATAAGCTTGTCACTCACTATGAACAGTATTTTTTATATTTGTGAAAAAAAATTTATTCTCGTTCAACCAGAAAACACAATTCAGCCGGTTTTTTGCTTCTTTCCCAACAAAATGTCACCATTCAGCACTTCACTGCAAAATATATATTCAGTATATCTCTCAATTCTTATGAGACGACATTAGCATTACTATTATTATCATCGTTATTGTCATATGAGCAGCACACACCAATAGCAATAAAAATTCAAATTTTTTTTTTATCTTATAGAATGGATATGTGACAACACGATGGCTGTAAATAGATTAAGACTCTCTCGATTGCTAATAATTTAAGCTAACATTTGATGCATGTTAAGATAATTTTATAGAAATTTTCAGCGATACATTATAAGAAATTAGGACGTTCATGAGTAGAATAACTTTGAATGCTGGATTATTATTCGAGTGAGTCATGAAACCGGATTGAAATCGAGTTGTAAAATATTCTAGGTCAGATGTTTTTTAAGTCAAGTATTGAATATAAGAAAGAAAGTTTTTGAGTCATACAAGGAAGTTGGGACTTTGAACAGTTGAAGGTACTTAAAAGAGAAATTTTTTTTGGGACTAAAAGTGCAAGTTGTTGAAAAAAAATCATTGTAATTTAATAATTTAAAATAAAGTTTTCAAAGAACTTAAGACCCTACCACTCCTCCCTCGTTCTCTCAACATTTAATTTAAAATTAATGAAAATCAAAAATGCTAAAGTTAGCACAAAACGCGTTTAATTAAGAATCAATTTACTTGGGGGTCTTGCAATTATGACGTTCATGATTTAAGGAGGCATTTGTGGGGGTTTGATGTTGTGTGACACTTTTTCATACCAAAACAATTTTCAAATATTATAGCCATAATTTTTGAGCAATTCACAATGTAATTAAATCCACCAAAATACTTAAAGGCTCCGCAAAAAAGCTACTTAAGTCCAATACAATAATCTATGAGTCAACAAATTGCTTGCAAAAATTTTATAATACAAAACAAGATTGTCACCATAATAATCTACATGATTTCACGAGATCTGACAAGTTTTGAGCAATCAAACAATTTTTTTAATGACAATTATCTCGCTACGTCAAGTTTCTTGTTATAAGTGCTGATTTCATAAGAAAAATCACGATAATTTCAACAATTCATGTGTATTTGTGTTCAATAACCTTCTGCATCTGATTCTATAATTTTTATATATTATTTTTGTTCCTCAAAATGGAATTAAGAAATCCGTCCAACACATAAACAATCAAGCACTTAATTGCGAGGGTAGAAGAAGAGTGTAAAAATAGACGCAACGATTGCATTTGTTCCAAACATAAATATAATTTTTTCCGGTAATTCTGGTGCTTACCTTTTCGATTCTTATGCTATTTATGGATTGCCTTTGATGCCAATTAAAATTGCTCTTGGAACACGTTTCTCTTCTGTTTTCCGTTCTTGTTATCCAAACATAAACACTTTTTTTTCGACTGTTTTTCACTTTATTTTATAATTTTTCTTCTCTTTTGCTCGCTTGCTTTGATTTTTTTCTCTCTCACATGCAAGATTTTACTCACTTTATTTACGATATTCTGGACTATTTTGAATTGAATTGAGAATTTACAAGGTGATTCACTTTTAAGATTTTAATTCACAATTTTATTTATTTTTTTGATACACTGAGCACTTGCTGCTTTTTTTGACGAATATAAAAAGATTAATTTTTTCAAAAAAAAAAATTACACACAAAAAAATCACTAGAAACACTGAAAAATTTTCCCTCTATTTATCTTCCTTGCTTCTTATTTTTCTAGCTTGCAAACAAAAAAATACGAGAATTTTTCACTATTTTTCCTTCGTAATTTTTATTTTTTTTTTCTCAACGACACAGACACAGAATATATAAACGATTATTTTTTCTGCTTACACAAAATCAGATTCAATGTTTAAAAAAATATAAAAAATTATAAAATTCTCGGTCTTCACAATTTTTCAGAATTTTGTTTTAAGCTAAGGCAAAGTTGAATTTTTGCGGAAATAATTTTTTAAAGTTTCTCTTCCTGACAATTTCCTCTTGTGTTTATCTTTCACAAAATATTCGGCTCTTTTTTGACTTTTGTTTTGATAAGTTTCTCTTATGTTTATGCTGTGCAGACTCCCCGACACTGCACTTTTGACCGTACCAAAATAAAAATTTATTTTACACAAAATCAAAATCTACACAAAAATATTCTATATCCATAGCATTAATGTGCGCTCCCTTGCAAAGAAAAAAAAAATCTTACAATTTTTTCAAATACTTTTTTTTATTTCCTTTTGACTTTGCCGTTTTAAACGTAAAGAAAAATGAAAGAAAAATGATTCTCTATCCGTGGCACAGACTTGACTGACTGAATGCGACTGCTATTTTTTCTTTATTCTTTCGAGTGAAGTAAAGTAGAGGAAAAATTATCGCAATATGAAAAACAATAACAACACTGGAGTCAACATTCGAAATGCAGCATTGACTCTCACAATGTTTTCATTCTTACGCTCTATTTTATCTCCAAACCAAATGTTTGTTTTTCGAAAATAACATTTGAATAGTACAACAACAAACATACACACAGTCATCGACATACTTACAAGTTTATAACAAAAATATTCGAATTTTTCTCACTAGATCGTAAAATTTTATTGTTTTGGACAACAAAGGAAACGAAAAAGAAAAAAAGAAGGAAGAAATATTACGAAAAATGGAAATGAATTGGCGACTGGACATTTTGACGTGAATAAATTTATTAACATTATTATTTTATTTCTGCCTGTAAAGAAAAATTTTCTAGCTTACATTTTCATTCAATTCTAATTAAATAGCTTTTTATTCGTAATAACATTAAGATACAGTTATTCCTGTTTTATGTGCTTCAAGAACAGCAATGAATTGAGTGAGAGAGAAATCATGTCAATGAGAAAATGTTTGAGAGGATTTTTTTAGATGGTGCAATTTTGCAAGTCGGTAAGAGAGCAAAGCAAAGAGAGAAATTATTTTTGAGAGAGTATCTTACTAGATTCTTATTGGAATTGGCATAGATTGTGGTTTGAAAATTTCAAAGCCGTTGGGAAAAATTCGGAATTTATTTTAAGCGGTTTAATCACATACTTATAGAATAAATATTAGAATTTGTATGGTTTTGAGGAAAATCAAATATCGAATATTTGAAATTTAATACAAATCGGAAAAATCAAATATTTGAATTTTTGATTTTCCTCAAAACCATACAATTATTTCTATGAGCGCAGAAATTGTTAACTTTTGATTAATTTTAAGCAATAGTTTGCTTGGAGAAAATCATAAAGAATTATTTTGTGCGGATGGGAAATGAGAGACGGGAAGTTTAACTATTATACTATAATAGAAATCCGAAATCTACCCAAACTAGTTGTTTTCAAGCTTTCTAAAGCGTTGTGAACCAAGCACAACATACCATTAGTTCTCACTCTATTCACAAACTACCCTAAGGTTAAGGCAAGTCAAAGTATTTAAGTATGTCATGAAGTTTGTGTGTTTGTCTTAAGTTTAGGTGAAGGACCAGTGCATCCTTAGAATAAGAAACACTGTTATTAACAGTCTGTCACCAACTATTTATTTTCAAGCTTTTAAAAATGCTTTAATGATTGTTTTTGTATTTTTCAGCTGCCATTAAAGTTGCTCCTATTTTATAAATTCATTGTGTGATGATTATTAACTCTGACTTGCTTAGAAAAGGCAAAACAAACATCTGTTAACTTTCACATAATTTAAAAAAATTCAGACTTTACACATCCATTCATAAATGTTTAATCCAACTTATTATTGACGTATATTTGCCTCAAGACGGTAAAATATGAATAAGTCGATGTTAGAATCTAAAATGAAGTAACAAATAAATAATTGAAATTTAATCAATTTAACTACTCACATATGTCAGCTGCTCAAATGTAATCTCACTAAACTTCAGTGTCGTCAATGCAACATGTCGATTAGATCTAGCAATGCAAACTATTAGTAACCTCTTTACGTTCATGTTTGTTGAATTCTCCCATTGACAATTGTAAATGCTGTTGGTGACATTTTCACTAGCATTCTTCAACATTTGCCCGAAGAAGCACTGCAAGCCAATCTGATTGAAATTTGCTATACAAATTGTCATATTTACGAGTATTTTTGACGTGTCTGATGATGTTGAACATTGAAATGCGGTAAAGCAGATGACAAATGAACTGATGATGAATTTATAGAAGAATGTTATTGAAAAAATTCTCTCAAGCTTTATGCATGCATCATATAACTCATTTTGATGACAAATCAAGGTTTTAAGCTCATCACTTGTCTCACTGATATTTAAATTCTCAAAACTATGCTGTAGAGTTTCAAATTCAATAGAAATTATGCGGATGAAGCTATAAAGTAGAACATCGGTTGCAAAAAAGATAATAAAGCCATTGATAAGATTCCAGTACGTCCATAGTAATACTAGTGGGTAAATAAAGTTGTTCGTCACATCGACCGGAAACTTCATGTCAAGTGGAAAAGTTTTCTCACCTGACACGAGAATTTTCACAATTGGCGTCATTATGTTGACAATCAATGGACTTAATAGGGATAATAAGTATCCATAGAAGAACTTTGTGAACATTTTTGAGCTATTTGTGCCTTGTTCTTGGTTAATGCTCTTCAATTCGTTCATGATCATTAAAATTTTGTCCTTATTTATAAATAAAACAATTGATTTGAGGATGATCATTAAAGTAGACGCCACAACTGGTAAGCCATAAGTGATTTTCTCGATGTCGAATGGTTTTGAGAAAATTGAAGCTCCAGATGAGATAGTTGCGCCTGTCAAGTTGATAACCACAAGCCAGTAGAATAAGCATCCATTGTATGAGTCTTCAATTTCAAATCCAACATACTTCAACATTGATATCGTCAAATCCAGAAAATTGTGAATTTCTAAAGTTGGAAAATAATTTTTGAGAATTGTAAGTAGTTTTCTCATTTTTTTGTACTTAATTTTCAAGTGTTGATTCTTTGAATGTCTAAAATACAATGAAATCTTTAAAATAATAATAATTTTGTAACGAACAATTTTACTATAATTTTTTTAATAATTCAGACTTTATCAAATGAATTATTATCAAATAAAATTTATTTCTTTATAATTCAAAAAAAAAAAGAATAATTAAGACTGAGAACGAGACAGTTATACACGACGACTACAGCTTGTGAATAAGTAAATATCCTTTGTTAATTTCACATTTAAGGTATAACGATAGACGAATTGATACATTATGGAAAGCCAAATAATATATTATGTAGTTGAATTCTTAGAATTTTAAATAAATTAGTCAAGTTTTCTTGAATATTCTACAAACTAATGAGAGAATCGTTCGCATATTTCGTAACTTCTTGGTGAGGGGGGTCTGAGTTTTTTTATACTCAATATTAAACTTTTTTGATTTCTTTACACAATGTGCTACTACGCATAACAAATAAATAACATTTAAAAAAATTGTAGAATGAAAAAAATCTCAACTCTCAAAGATTTTTTGAATAATTTATTAATGTCATTTAAGTTTAAATTAAATTATGTAATTAAAATATTTTCCCATTTAAATCACGAGTGCTTGATGATCTCGAAGGAAATGGGAAAGAAAGTAAATTAAAAAGTCAGAAAAAAAAACTTTTTGTGCAAGGAAGTGTAATAAAGAGTCGAGAAAAAAGACAACTTAAAAGTTTATTTTTTATTTTGTTACGTTGAATGAAGATTTCAGTTTTAAATTTTATGATTTTTTTTTGTCTTGAACTTAAAGTTTTAGAGTTTTTGAAAGAGTGGAGATGCAATAAGACAATTAGGTGAATTTTTGAGAAAAATTATGTGCTTTCCTTGGAATTGAAAAAATTCCAGAATTTATTTATTATTTTTAAATAATAATGCTGAAAATTAAAACCTGAAAACTCAAAAATAAATCACTTAAAACAGTCAATTTTCATTTTTTCAATTTAATTTTAAATATTATTTTTATTTCTTGATTTATAATTCTTCTTACACTCATAATAATTATAAGTAAGTTTATATAATTAATTGATTGATGTTCAATATAATTTGATTAATTGAAGAAAAAACTTTTCTCATTTTCTTTTTTTACTTTTAAATCCTTTTATTGTTGAATTTTTTTTTCCTTATTTTCCTCCTCAATTAGAAGATTTTTCCATTTTTTGAAGATTTTCCTTAATTCAATTTTTTGTTCACTTTCATTTTTGTTCTCTCTTTTTTGTAAGGAATGTGAAATTTTTCACATTTTATCTCTCATAATTTTGCAATTTAATTTCCATTTTGCTCATAAAAAATTCGTAAAAAATTCTACAAAAAGAAGTGAGTGAAAGAGAGAGAGATGAATTTTTAGAGCTTTTTTTTTGTAATTTTGGCAATGAAGAAGAGGAAGGAAAATTATAATTTTTGTTTTTTCGTGGCCGTTTGCTTAATTTTTTGTGTATACGTAACTTAATTTTCATTTATTATTCCGGTTCTATTGTAAAATTTCATCTTTATATTATAATTTTTTATTGTTGAGGTATATCGTTTAACTATTTTTTATGTAAATGTTTTTCATCTTTTTTCTTCATTTTGTTCACGTCGGCATCAATTTATGGTTTTTTGCAATTTTTTTGCTTGCTTTTAAAATTATAAAAAAATTCATTTTTTATGACATGAATTGGGATGTAAAGTTGGGGTCTTTGGATGGAAATGTTAAGTTGACAACTCACTAATTTTCATCCATAAACTCTCTTCCTACACCCCATCATAGTCCCTTTTATCCGATAATTTTAATAATAAAAATCTTTATTATCCATTTTTTGTGTCTATTTTTCTTCGCAGATTATTTTTTCATCATAATTTCACTTTTCTTTTTTGCTATAAAAGATATGAGGATTTTTTTTGTTTGCTTCATCATCCACAAATGACGAGCATTAAATTTTTCTTTATTTAGTTTTTTTTTCTTGTACTGACTTAAAGGCAGCTTGTTTGCATTTGAACTGGTTGCATTTTCTTCTTTTATTTCAAAGTGATAAAAGTTTTTTTAATATATTCTCTGTTTTGTAAAATGAAAATTTTTTTCATACTTTGCTTTTGTATGTGTTAATCTGCTCGGAAAGAAGCTGCTTGAAGAGTTGTAGAAGAGGTAATCCAAATTTTTTGTGGGGAGCTTTTGGAGAATTTCAAATGAGGTCTCAATCAAAACCCCTTAATGAACCCCACACGAAACAAAATAAAAAAAGTTACTTAAAAAAATCATTACACAAAAAATATTGCCAGAGTTGAGTCCTTGCAAAAAAAAGTAAGTTTTGCGTGTCTTAATTTTTCATCGTTTTTTTTTTTCATTACATTAATAAACTTATTATTGAAAACGCTTAGCGTCTGCAATGGAATGACTTAATATGTAAGCAAAAAAAGTTTAAATCTATGGAAGTTAAAATAATAATAATAATATTAATAGTTGTAAATTAAAAATTATTAAAGAGGTGCTTTCATCCTTTCTTATTACTTGATTTTTTTCACATATCACTAAATGTCAACTAAAAATTTAATATTGCAAAAGAATAATCCATTATTAATAATATGCTTAATTATTCCTTGAGCTTTATGACTGCTGGAATTTAAATTGACAGCAGCTATTAGCTCAGGAATCTTTATGAAGGTAGATAGGACTTGAAATAATTGTAAAAATAAAGAAAATGTAAATTTACTTAATAAAAAATTTGATTTTTTGCGTTCTCTTCTTCATTTTTTTGTTTTTATCTTGTTTAGTTTATAAAAAACCACATGCAAAGAGGTACATTGAAATATTTTTGGGGTGGTCTGACTTAAATGTGAGAATTTTCGAGAAATTTTTGCAAGATCTTTTTCATTTTCTCAAAAACTCTCACTCTAGAGTCTTTATAACCTCCAATTAAAACTGTACAAAGACGTTTCATCAGTATTAAATTTCATCACTATTTCAACTATTCGTCACTGGCCTTAAAAATCCCAACTGTCGTAAATATTTTTTTTTTCAATTTTTATTCCTCAACCATTCCATTCTCTAATTGATAATTTCTTAGAAATCAGAATTCAGCTTTCTTACGACTGACACGAAGGATTTTTTTTATTTCTATTTATTTATTTTGCTTGGAAAAAACATTTTTTCTTATTTAAATTTTTCTCTTAAAATTTGACTTATTTTAATTATTAATTATATAATTCATTAAATATTCTCTTTATTTCTTTATCAAGAAGTTTTTTTTTCATATTTAAAGAATTTTTTTCTACATTTATAAATTCGGACTTGTAGATATTTTTTCATTTTTTTTTCATCTTCATTTATGTCTCAATTTTCTAATTTATCAATTTTTGACGGTAAAAAACTATCGGTTCCCATTGAAAAATTTACAGAGTTTTTTTTATATTAATTTAAGTTTTATTTGGGGTGGTCTGATGGGTGAGAAATGTCTCTCATCCAACAAAGCATAACAAAAAATTTTTGAAAGTAAAATTTTCCAACATAGTCGACAAAATTTCACATTCAAAAATTTTCTTTAGAAAAGAAAACACAAAAACTTGTCACATTTTTTAAATCCTTAAAAAAAGAGTTGATATACACATTTTTAAGATATGTGAGAAGACTCTACGACGACGAGCTTAAAACCAGTAGAATAAACTTAAATAAATTTGAAATAAATGTGATAATAATTGTGAATTAAAGTTAAAAATTGATATTTTTTTCTGATGTCTTAAAACTGAACTATTTAATTAATTATTCTACCCATTAATTGTCGACATAAAAATGGCACAAAGAAACTTTTTTATATTTAATTATTAGTTTTTTGTTTGAAATCTGTTAGTAGTTATTTTTATTTGAAAAAAAAATCTTGTTACTTTTTAATTACTATGATGATTTTTTCATTTCATTTTGTATATTTTACAGAGGTATATCGCGTTACTATTTTATTTCATTTCATTTCTGCGTTTTTTTCATTGATTTGTTTCTTCGGAATTTTACTTTCATTAATCTTGTGTTGAATTTCATTTATTTTGTATTGATTTGCTTAATTTCATGTATTTTTATGCTGTCTGCATTTTTGTTTTTTTTTTTGTTCGATTTGAAGTAATTTTAGAGCGATGTATGAGGGGGTAAAAGGGGTGCTTAGTAGTTTATTTTGTAAAATTTTAAAATCTCATTCAAAAGTAATTTTTGTTGAAATGTTTAAATATTTACAAAAAGTCAACTCACACCCCCTTTTGAATAAGTTTATAAGTTTTTTCGATTAAGAAATAAAAAGTTTTTGTATAAAATAGTTTGAAAATGATTTTTCCGATTGTATCCAAAAATATTTGTGGAACAAAATCTGTGCAACTTTAGGTGTACTTTATATAATAATTTAGATTCTTTGGTAGCCGAAACTTAAAATTTTGAAACTATATAAAAGTCTGAATAATAATTTAATAAAATTAATAATGATCTAATCAGTTCTTGTAGATTTTTAATTTTAAAGTTTTTTTTATCTCTCACAATTTTTCACATAATTTTTTTCACCATTTTTAAAAAATTAATAACATTAAAATAATTGTACGAATCACAGATTTTTTTCCATTCAAAATTTAATGTAATTTTTTTAAATTTTCAAATTTTTTCTATGTCCTTAGATTTCATGCAAATTTTTTTATACACATATACTGAATTTTTAAGCCGAAAAGTTGCAAATTTTTTTCAATCTTTTTTTCTTTGTTAATAGTTAAATCAAATAAGGAACATAATTGCAATTAAATTTAAGGTGAAAATAATTAAAAATGTGTTAATAAATTAAAGCCAAAATAAACAAATTAAAATAATTCTTTTAAAACTTTTTTAACAAATTTGATCGATAATGATTTGGAGTGGTTGCAAGATTTTGGACTGCAATTATCAGAAAGAATATCTTGCATTCACTCCACAAACACTATCATTTGTTAATGAGACCTTTTCATTTTGACATCAAAATAATTTTTTTTTCATTATCAATTTTTGTAATTTTTCCATTTTTTGATATGTTCAGAAGTACATTTTTAAGATAAAATTTTTTCATTTAATAATGTTTTAGTAATAAATTTTGTCTATATGCAATTTGTGGAAAGAATCCAATGATCAACTTCTTCTCGATATTCGTTTTTATTTATTTAAAGACTTTTCATTTGATTTTGCATCTGTGATTTGGAAAAAGAAGGAATTTTCTTAGATGTTGGTGATTTTGAAAAATTAAAAGTTTATAAAAAGAAATAAAATTTTTTTTGCAAGGAAAATTTTCCTTGTGATTTATTTTAGTTTATTGCTGGAAGATTTCTTGGGGGTTATTTTTGAAATTTCAAAGTGAATCTAATTTTTTAAGCGTTTCTTGCAAAAGATGAAGATTTGATTAAGGTTGCAAAAATTCATAATATTGATCAAGATCAATTTATTAATCACTTTTTAAAAATACAGTTTGAACGTAAATTGAAATGCTTCTATTATTCAAAAAGAAAGCTGCAATTTATTTTAAGATTATATAAAAATTTTAACTGAGATATTTTACATCAAGCTCGAGTTTTTTCAGGTTTATTTGAACTTTTAAGATTAAAATCAGCTTTAACATGATTTTTGAGGTAAATTTTGTCTATCTATGAAATAAAATATTTTATTTTTTAGCATTTCAAACTGAATTTTTAAAGTTTTTACTAGATTCACTTAGAATTCGTCAACATAAGTCTAATTAAGGATGCAGAAGTGGTCAAATTATGTTGAATAACAAGTTTTACACCCTTGAATCTTCTTTTTAAACCCCAATAAGCCTTCCAGCTCACAATTTCGTAATATTAAATATCGTACTTTTATTCTTGTCTTGAATTTCATTTATAGAGAAAAATTGGAAAAAGATCTAACTACAATTTTGGCACAAAAATACATTATTTACACTTTAACTCTCATTTATTAGATTTCTTTATCTTCATTCTTTCGTAATATCAATTTTTTATATTTTATCATCTTTTTGAAAAAAAATCTGTGCATCAATTTTTAGTTCTATAATATTTATTACTCGTAACATCGTAAAAGAGAAAGGATAAAGTTGGTAAATACCCTGAAGATTTGCAATTCTTTCTTGTCACGGAATTCAAATAAAAAATAAATTTTTTTCTTCTAGTTTTTTCTCGCTATTTTATTATTGATAAATGATTATTATTTTCCTCAATCACAGAAATTCATTTTTCGTTTTTGTTTTAAATTTTTTCTCATTTGCTTTCAGAAAGTTGAAATTGTAGTTAGAATTAAGATTCAAATTTCTATTTTGATAAGGAAACTATTCGGTTTTTTTGAGCTGCAAGGGTTCAGGACTTTTTGAACCTCAATCAGAATTTTGAAAAGAGAAAAGGTAAAAAAAATCAATTTTTTTGAGCATTAAAAATTTTGGCACCAAGTTACAATCCCAAAAGCATTGTAATTCATGAGAACTGTATATAAATATTTTTAAAGCTTTTTTCTATAAAAAGGAGAAGTTATTACATTTTTACATTAATACATTTTTGATATTATTTTTTAAGGAAATATGTAGCTAAGACCCGTTGTATTTTAAATACTGTCATATTTTCAGTTTTATGGCACATGTAGACCGAAAAGATGGTGAATCTTCTGATTTAGTTGATTTTATCCAGATTCTTTTTTCACTGGGGTTTTTTAAGGGTTTGTTGCAACTTCAAGAGCTGGAAGAGTTTTTTCATGCTTTAAGGAACCAGAGCTAAAGACGACACTCTCCTTAATATACAAATAAGCTCTGGATAAATTCAACTAAGTCAGATATTTTTCTATGTGATTATTATTTTTTTTTGTACTTTCTGAGTGTTTTTCATGTCTGCTTTTACTTAACTGGATATCATTTTGAATTGTTTTGAGTGCAATTAAGATGTTTTTTATTTGATAATTAAATGGTTTGAAATATTATGGAAATTTTTAGGTTTACTGATCAAACTATTGAATATTCAAGTGAATAATGCTCAATGTTAATCAGTAAAAACCTTAAATTAATCCTTAAAAATATCTTTTCCCTTTTCTCTTTTCAAAATTTGACAAAAAATAATTTCTGAATTTCAGTATTTTAATCGATTAACTATTATCTTCATATTCTCATCCATTTCCTCAAGATTTCAAATGTCCAGAGTTCTTATATTCAATTTATTTCTCTTTTTCCTTCATGTTTTCTTTCTTTTTAAAGTTTTTTTTGTACTTATTTGGTGAATCACTGAGGTCAAAAATAATAAAGAAAAACTTTATCTTTACTGAAATTGCATTTTACAAACATTATAATTACTTCTTCTCTTTTTTTCTTTTTATATTATTTTCAATAAACATTCATTAATTTATCAAATCGCGAAAAAGATTTTTTATTCCTTTATACTTTTTTTCCTTAATTATCTCTTATCATATAATAATAAAATGTGGTCAACAGTGTTTCTCAAAAAAATCATTTGACTTGTTTTATTTCTGAAGAATTTTTGGAGGTTTTTTATGTAGGATTTTGTGGCAATTTTTGAATTTTCTTGATGTAGTTTTTGGTTGTATATTTGATGGCTGTCGATAATTTTTTTGAGGTTACTTGAAAATTTTATAAATTTCATTCCTCAATTTAATTGACTTTGAGTTAAAATTTGGCAGCCATTAAGTGGATATACTGTTGTATTTTTTAAAAACTCGACTTTTTGACACCCTTTCATTTTAATACTTTCTAGCTTGCCCTGTAGAATTTTAAAAATCCACTGTTAATACTCATGAATTATTTTGCTAAGAATCCAAAAATTCACTAAACCTCACAGAACTCCCCAAAACTTCATCAAAAATTTTTTTCATCTTCAATTTTTTTCCTTAAATAGAGAAATTCTTTCAAGTTAAAGAAATTAAAACGAAACTTCGTTAATTTAATTAAATTTCTTCATTTGATGTGTGCATTATGATATGATCAAAAATTTGTCATTAAATCTTTTTAATTTGAAAATTTATAATTTTTTCATGATATTTTCTTGTTCTTTTTTTCATCTCAGAGAAGTTTTTTTTTATATTTTGATATAAGTTCTTTTAAAAAGGATTTGTGGTCAATTTTTGCATATTGAAAATTTTTTGAACCACAATAAAATAGTGAAATTTATTAAGGATAATATTTTAAGAATGAATAATTTTGTTCAATTTTTTTTCTTGATTTTTATTAATTATTACGAATTTTTGATTGTAATTTAAAGCTTCTTTCGACATTAAATTCATCAATATACAATAGTCTTCATATCAGCCAGTGATAGAAATTGTAGTGAAGGTGTTCTCAAAAAAATAATCAAAATTATTCACACTTAAAAAATCACCATCGGTAAAAAATATTAAAGAGACAAAAATTAATAAATCAATATGAATATTAGTTTTCTCTATAAAAAAATTATCAATTTAAAAAAAAATATTGCACAATCGCCAATGCGTATAAATGCAAGTAAAAAAGAATATCTCGTATTTGATTTTATCAACTAAGGGGGAAGAATAGGATAAAAATTTTATTTTTATGAGGCTTAAAATATGATAAAATTCATTCAGTTTTTATTTTGAGGTGTTATATCATTTAAATGAGTCGATTTTGGATCAACCAAAATTTCATTTTATAATCTCATTAATACATTTATTTCAATGTTTAGCAAACACTTCATATGAGATATGTCAATTCTTCCAATTTAATCTGCCTGCAACAGAAGCTACCACGCGTTTTGATATGTTTAACGTAGAATTTTTGTATTTTTGATTTATTTTATAGTTTCGATATGATGTGTGGTCATCGATATGGTATTTTGGATTTTATTTCAATCTTTAACTTACTTTCAGCTATTTACCGGATTTTTAATCAAAAATTTTAATTTATCCAAATTTTAAAGAATTCATCAACTAAGTTGACTAAATTTCGATTTCCTTTAAATTCCTGAGACTTTTCCTGAATTTTTCTTCATAAACTGAATGAATTTTTCTCAAACTTTTGCTAACCTCAAAAATATTTTTAAAGAAAAAATAAACTAAGGTTATTAAATCATTCAAAATATTATTTTTTGTTCTTCTTCTTCTCAAATCACGTTACAATATTTAAAAAATTTTGATATTTTTTTTTAAGAAATAAAAAAGATTTTTCTCTCATTTTTTTATCATCATCAAATTTGATTGATTGATGCAAGTATATATATAATGTATATATATGTATATGTAAATTGTTAATATGTATATTTTTTTCATCATCTTTCATGTAAAATTTACACATTTAAAATTGACTAAAAATAGAATTGTCTCATTCCGAAAAAAAAGGATTTTTCAATTTTTTTCAATTTAAATTTAAATTTAAATTAATGTTGCATGTCTCATGTATGTCTTATGTTGTCGTTCATATCCTCATACATCATATCATCATCAATGCTGAATCGTCTAATGTAAAGAGCATTTGCAAGATTCATTAATTGATTGCATTTTTATTGTGGAATACCCGGTGGTGGTTGACCGAGTTCGGCAGCAAAATCAAACAAATGTGGTCGCGGATGTGGTTGTCCATGTGACCCAAGTACATTCTTTATCGCTGATGTTTTAAGTAATCTCTTGAGCATTCCACTTGAGCCCCGATGCTGAAGACTTTTATGTGTCGTTAGTGAATTTTTCGTTCGATATCGTCGATGACAGAACTCACACACATAAAGTGTATCCGATTGCTCGTGTTTATCTTGAAAATGTCTCTTCAATGAGTAATAGCATGAAAACGTTCGTCGGCAATATGGACACTCTTGGGGCTCATTAATACCAGCTGATGATGGAGCCGGCATACGTAGGGGAGTATTATTATGTTGTGATGAAGACGATGATGTTGGGGAGATGACACCACTTTGGGGTCCTAAAGAGATACAAAAATTGAGAAGAAAAAAATGAAAGAAAATGGAAAATATTAATATTTTGAAATTTTTTACATGTAGGAAAATGTAGTTTTGAGAAAATAAGTTGATGAGTTGGAAGGTTTTGTTTTTGGGGGGCTTTGAAGGACTTTATTTGAGGTTGCATAATTTGTTTGAGATTCTTATTTATTTTGGAGATTTTGGGATAGTTTGTAACCTAAAATTTTAAGTTTTGATAAATTTTCTAAAGCAGATTAAGCTTTAATAAAACTTTTTAAATCTAAAAGTCTATAGTTGACTTGTTTCGACTAAAAAGTGAGCCAAATAGATTTAAAATTATTGTAAAGTCCATCAAAAATCGCCCAAAAACCAGACACCCGACCCATCAAATAAATAATTTATTTCATATATAATTTTTTTTTTCGAGAAAGAAAGATTTATGCAGTCTTGTCAGAATATAATATATATAATAAAAATATATAGCAGTGAAGAAATAAAAGTTTAGAATAAAAGTATATAAATTTTATAGAGTGAAACGATTTTTTTTTTCGTCATCATTTTCTGTAAACTTTTTTTTTCAAACAAACTTTTTTTGACATTTTTTCATTGATTTTTTTTAAACAAAAAAAAGTAGTAAGTATGATGCATTAACTTATTTTTCTTCTTTTTTTTCTTTTCTTATTTTTACGCTAAGCATTATTATATTTCATGACTTTGAATGAAAGCAATATGGGTAGCATAAAAATAGGCACAATCATGGACATGCAATGAAAGAAGACGGAAAAAAATTAAGCAGCACAAAAAGCACAGAAAATAATGCAAGACAAGATTTATAACATGCACAAATTTTTCTATCAAACTTTTTTTTTCCTTCAAAATGTGAAAATTTTCAATGATAATTACAGCGAAATTGTTTATTATAGTTTTGCTGTTTAATGCCCAAAATTGGATTATACAATTTAAGTGAACTAATTTTATAAGGCAAATTTTCACGTTTTGATGGAAACTGGCTTGAAAAATTTAAAAAATGAAGAAGAAAAAAAATGAATTTTCACAATAATTTGTATGAAAATTATTTTTTTTTCTTGTTCATTTGCAAAGCCTTGTTCTGAGAAACTTTATTGAGATTGATAAATTGGTTATGATTTTTTTAAATTAAAGTTTTGATTGAATTTTATTGGATCGAGCCAATTTTAAAACTTTAATGTTTCGAAAATAGAGCTCCACCTTAAGAGACACAAAGAAGTGATATTAAGCTCAGATTCAATGGAACTAAACCAAGTTCTAATTACTCATAACCAATTAACACTGAATAAAATTTCTCAGAATTTCATATCATTCATTCAAAAGCTTTATTTTTAATTATTATTGTCGTGCAAGAAGCAATGAAATTAAAAGAAAAGTAAGAGTCTGAAGAAAGTAAAAAATTGAAAATTTCCGAAACAGATAAAAAATATCATTAATTATTCAGCATTTAAAAATTTTACGTTTCAGAGTTATTAAACTTTAGAGAAAAATTTTGAAGTGAAAGATAGTGGAAAGAGATAGAGATAGAGTAGAAGAATATAGTAAAATTTATTTATTATTGATAGAGTGCTTCTACTAATAGCCAAAAGAATTTATTTTAAATTTTTATTATTTTTTTAAGCGAAAAATTACTTTAATTTTGCTAGAAAGATTTTATTTAAAAGCTTTTTATATTTTTTGTAAATAAAGATAAATGAAAAAAAAATAAAAATTATAAAGTACCTACCTATAGTGAAACATTGCTTCAAATACAACAACATTTATATGATATTTTTCGATCATTTTAAAAATAAATTTTAAAAAAATTTGTTACATTTAAAAACAATTAACATCAAATACTTGAACGACATATTTTTCATCTGTTTTTTTCATCATTGAATTTCTCATTAATTTCATTTCATTTCATGTGGTCATCAAAATTAACTCAACAACACCAAAAATAAAAATGTATATATATAATGGAGGGGGGACAGACTACAATCATCAGTCCATCGATTTTTTTTCCTTTAATTTTCGTTCATCTTATAGTTATAACATCATGAAAACAACACATTTAAGCATGCAACATCAGTTTTTATTATTTCTATCTATAAGGCTTGGATGGATTTTTTTATTATTTTATGTGAAAATGTCGAGATTTTTATGATCTTTTTTAGGATGTGATTTTTCGATAGTAATGTGAATTGGATTAATATGCTTAATTTTCTATTAAATTAAAGATTAAGTTCCAGGAGTGATTTGAAATTATTTGCAATTTAATTTCTATTTCAAGAGCTTGTTTGATAATAATTAAAGAGAATGGAGAGAATGGATTAGTAATTAACGATTCTGTAGAACTTATATCACTAAGATAGATCTATAATGACATTTGTACTATTTTATTTTAGCAACCTTATGTCAAATTGATATAATAGTCATTATTCATACCTACACAAATTTACTACAACTGGTAAAATTTTAATATTCACATAGAATAATTTTTAAACATTTTTTCACAAAAACTTACAAAAAGCTCACATCAATTTAAACTAAATACAATCCATCAAAAAAAAGTCACAAAAAATATTAGACAAATTTCTAGCATCAAAAAAATATTCCAAGCCTTATCATCTTAATCTTGTTTTTTATGGGGAAGAAAATGTAAATAAAAATCACAGTTAATTGTGTTAAAGAATGTAAAAATATCAATAAATAGGAAACAAAAAAACAAGAAGAAGCTTTTTTTGTGTATAAAAAAAAATGAAAAACAACACATAGTTACTTCTAAGTTTTAAGCATAGACACCAATGGAAAGGATAAATATTTTATCAAATAATGAATGAAAAATAAAAATAAAAAATATTAGAGAGGTTTTTTGGGATCAACAATAAATATTTATTTTTTTTTTGGGGCAAAGGTTGAAAGAATAATTTTTTTAAAAATTAAAAAAATATATTCAGTAAGATTTACAAGATAGATTTGTCATTTGATAGAGAGTTTGATCATTCATGTCAATAGAAATTAAAAACCAATTGATAACTATAAACCAATTAATTACGATAGTTGTCGGAAGATGCATTTAATCAAAAATTATAGTAGAAGTAGTAGAGAGATTTTTATATTATATTATTTATTCATTCATAACTTATGCGCAATATGTCGAGTGAGATAGAGTGAGATAGAGAGAATAAAACTTATTTTTTTCCCATATTGCGATACTTTTTACATTTGATTATTATTTTTTTGTATTTTTTTAAAAATATATAACTATAGAATAGTAAACGATAGTGAGTAAGTAATAGAGAGAATATAGATTTTTCAATATACTAATTATAATAGATTTTCACTGTGCAAATGTTTCAATTTTCTACTTTCAAAATTACGAATTATTTTAATTTTAATGTGAAGTTTTTAGAAATTATTTTTAAAGGTTTTGTTTATTGATTGATTTGAAAAATTTTATATTTTTTTTATTTTGCAGACCTTAAAGTATTTTATTGGATATGCTTTTGTTCCTCTAAATTTAATTTGTTGAGTTTGGTAATTTAAAATATAATTTTATGTTTTCTTTTTATGAAAAAAATCAATTAAGTTTTTAAACTTTTTAAAATTAATCTTTTAGGTTAAGTTTATTTTAAGAGGACTTGAGGATTTTAAGATACGACCAATCTAATTTTATACCTCATAACTTTTTCCAAATGCCTTCAATTCCGCAAAATAAAAAATCACAAATTTTTCAAATTCTTTTAAATTTACCAAAAGAAAGTATTAATTCAAAACTTTTCACATTATTCTCATTATTTTACTTAAACAATTTTTTTACTCATTCATATCGATATTTTAAAAAATTATGTCACAGAGAGAAAAGAGATGATAGATTACGTAATAATCGATAATATATTACAGACTAGAAGATAGAAAAACCAACTTATAAGTAAATATATGCATACGAGATAGTAGACAAGAGAAGTAGAAGTGGAAGACAAAATTATTTTTTATCAAATTGTTGATTGTTGATGTGCGGTTGTTCTCATGGCGTTTATAGCTATTCATTCATATCCGTACTTGATGTTTTTATTTTTAAATTAAACTTCTTTTTTTGTAATTAAATTTAAACTTAATTTTTATCTTACAAATTAGGTATTATTGTTATTATTAACTACAAGATTTATTATCAAATCCTTTTGCTTATTTTGTATTTCGAGCAAAAATGATGGAAGCGAGAATGATGAGCGAATAGGCGAGAAAAATCGAGCAAAAAATTTTTTTATAGAAAAATTCAAGAATATTTTTTTTTGTATAGGTTGAAAAAGAGAAGAGAAATAGGAATAAAGTAATAGAATAGAAAGTAGAAAGAGCGAAAAAGGCAAGAAGGAGGCAGAAGAAGAAGAGAGATGAAACTTTCAAATGCGATGCGATTTAATTTTAAGATTTTTTTTTTTGAGTTTGTAGAATTAGCTAACCTTGACGATCATAAAATGACGACGACGGGATAACATGATGGCAACATCTCATATCATAATCAACAGTATACGATAGCAAAGTTGACCAATCAGAGGCAGCAGAATAATTGCTTGAATTTGAGAATGTTTGATAATGTCTTAATTGTCTAGCATGAGGCAGCAAAGTTAAAGTTGAAAGAGGCGTAATGTGATCATCTGTATTAAATGTGCATTTAGATTCCTAAAAGAATTTTATGTCCTTCATATCCAATTCCCCAGGTCTCGATTTATGATACGTATAGATGTGAGTCATTAATGAATTGCGAGAACAATAAACGCGCTCACATATGATGCAACGGTACTCTTCTTGACGTTCCGCATGTTTATCAGCAATATGACGTTTCAACGACGCTTTTGAGCATAAAACTTTGCCGCACAGTTGACATGAAAACAGTTTTTTCGGCGAACAGCCTGGAAAAATAATTGGAACGGAAAAAATATTTTTTTTTGTGATGCAATTTTTTTCGATTTAGATTTTAAGATAGATTTTTTTA